TCGATACAATACGACTCGGGCAACTGCTCTGTAACGAGTCAGTTGTGTGTCCTTAACTGTCGCGCTGTATTTGTCAGGTCAAAGGTCGCTTGACCTTTGACTTTCGCGTAACCTCCAGCAACCTCTCAACCTCCGAGGGTTGACTCGCGCTTGCTTCGGTACTGCTTGCTTCGCTTCTGGTGCGATGTTTCGACACGACTGAAGCGCTTAAGATTCACTGTTTCCAACAACAATTACGGCATGGGTGGTTGTGGTCATGTCAGGCCCCTCGTTTTTCATCGTAAACCCTTGCAGATGTAACTTAGGTACTAGTGTTATACAAATGGATTATGGAAGGTTGAAGTGATATTGCGGTAGTATAAATGTAAGGAGGAATCCCGCATGACTAGCACGTCTGGGCATGGTACGGTATTGGCAACTGCTCGTCTGACAGAATTGAATTAGAAGAAACTGAAAGCGATTAATGTGGAGTGGGCGAATGCTGCTCCCAGTAGGGCTTGCTGCTTGCCCCACCCACCTAAGCCCCAGCTGTCCAACCAGCCGTGTATGACAGGCAGCAGCATAGGGTAGGGTGCCGTAACTACTAACTGCACTTATAACATCCTAGTAGAGTAGGCTAGTACGGTATCACCACTACCGGTAGTAACACCGTGCTTGCTGGTAATACTACTGAACTACCACCGCACAGCGAGAAGCAGTTACATTCCTAACACACACTTAACACACGAGAGCGGCGCGGGTGGGACGGCGCGCGGCACAGCACGGGGTGTGCTGCGTTAGGAGAGGAAGATGACCTGAATTCCACGCATCCCACCATGCAAATGATCAGGCGGAAAGCCCGAGAGAGTGGAAGAGAGAGAGAGAGAGCGAGAGAAAGAAGTGGAGGGCGAAAGAGGGGGAGAGAGAGTCTTGCTCTGGTCTTCTTTTGAGGTGCCTCGACCTCGAAGCTCTGCTATAGCGTTTAGCCACAACGGGACGAGAGGAAGGAAGCTCGTGTTGATGGCAGCAGCACTGGCACAGGACCCCCGAGGAAGCTCACAACGAGGAATGATCCCAGCCGGTCGCCCTGGCTGTCACCAGTTACCTTACCAACACCTCACCCCTCTTGACAATTCTGAATTCTCATTTCAGTACCTCACCAGTTGCAGTGCCTCACCTCACCCTACTGAGAATTCTCAAAGGGTACGGTACCTCACCATCACACTCCGATTGGCACGGCATGTTCCTCTCAAGCGTGCTGCCTCACGCACAGTCCCCATACCCATCCTATCGCCCCCTCCACCATCCCAACATCCCAGTTTCAAGACACATCAAAACTTGATCCCATCTCTCATCAACCCCCCTCCCCCCCTCCACTTTCCCCCTTCCTCCACCCACCTACCCTTACCCTCCTCCACCACTTCCCCGAATCATTCCCCCTGCTCCCCCTCCACTGTACCCTCTTCCCCGTCTGCTCTCTCTCCTCGCCTCTCTCCCTGCCACACTTCTCGCCTCACCCGCACACCGCAACTGCACCATCGGCACTGCCCCCCTGCTGCTTTCCCCGTGGGCGAGCCTGGGATCCGGAGAGCTTTGAGACGTCTCAAAGGTCCTTTCAGACGAATTTTGAGACGTCTCAAAAGTCGCCGTCACCACTGCTCCCCTGCTGCTTTCCCCGCGCGCGAGCCTGGGAACCGGAGAGGCGACGGGGGATGGAGGGTGGGCGGGCAGCTGAGGAGAGCGCGGAGGAGAGGGCAGAGGAGAGCGCGCGACTGGTGGGGCTGGTGGGACTGGCAAAGCTGGACGGATTCGTGGGGCTGGTGAGGTTGGTAGGGCTGGTGAGCGCATTTTCTAGTTCAAATGAGCGCGATCGGCCGTGGCGGGCTGAGAAAGGGGAGCGGTGGGATGGGGAGCGGTGGGATGGGGAGTGGTGGGATGGGGAGTGCGGGGGAGGGGAGCTTCCATATGCACCACCTGTGGCTGCAGCTGCGGCTGCGGCTGCTTGCGATGCAGACAAGTGTTCAGGTTCGCCGTCTGAGTCAGTGTTATGCAAACCGTTTGCTGCTGCCCCTGCTGCTGCTGCTGCTGCTGCCCAACGGTGCTGCGAAGACAGAGTTTGAATTAGCAGCTCTGTTAGCAGCAACACTGCCTCTCATCCCACCACCAGCACCACCACCAGCACCACCACCAGCACCACCAGCAACAACCCCACCACCACCCATCAATCTCCCCTTTCCCTCCTCAATCCCACCTCTTCCAAACCCACTCAACCCTTCAATCCACCCTCCGCCCACTCCCCCTTCCCCCACACCCCCCCCTCCAAACCCACCGACAAAGCCCCTATTCCCCACCCGTGCTTTCCCGTCACTCGGCCCCTCCCAGCTCAGTCTAGGCCCAAACTTGGAACCAGAACCTGCTGCTCCTCCCAGCCCTCCTCCTACCCCAACGGCCCAGCGCGAGTCCCTGGGGGAAGCGGAGCTCTGGCGGCGGAAGGGTGCCCCGCGGTTGGCCTGGTTGGCGCGCTGCAGCTGTGCTGTCGCCGCTGCCAGCTCTGCTGCTTGCGCACTTGCTTCCGCGGAACTCACTTGGGCACTCGCTTGGGGACTCGCGTGGGGAATTTGTTGCGGGCTCATGTGGGTGCTCATGCCCGGATCTGAGTCTTGCTCTGTGACTGGTGTGAGATGCGCAGAGGCAGCCCATGGGGAGGATATGGTTGCTGAGGTTAACTGCTGGTGATGCTGCTGCTGCTGCTGCTGCTGCTGCTGCTGCTGCTGCTGCTGGTGTTGGTGCTGCTGTTGGTGATGGTGTTGGTGTTGGTGTTGTTGTTGTTGTTGGTGCAGGTGGGAGGAAGGAGAGGGGAAGGTATGGCGAGGAGATAAGAGCTTAGGTGAGGCTGGGCATCCTCCTACTGCCCCTCCTACTGCCCCTCCTACTGCCCCTCCTACTGCCCCTCCTTGTCCTCCTCTCCCCACCACCACTTCTCCGGCACCATCTGTGGAGGCGTGGTGATTGGCATAGGTGGGATGGGCAGCCGCACCAGTGCTGCAATGTAGACCAGCATTGTCGCGCACAGCAGTAGCGCCATCATCAGCACCACCTGCAGCACCAGCAGCACCGTAAGCATCGCAGTTCGTTGCTAAAGTGTTTCGACCTGCAACGCTGCTGCCGCTGCTACTGCTACTGCTGCTGCCAAAACTGCCGCTGCCACTGCCAACCCTGCTGCTGCTGCTGCTGCTGCTGCTGCTGCTGCCGCCGCTGCTGCTGCCGAATGCCGCGACTGCCGATGGTGTTACCGCTGCCGCCTCTACTGCCACTGCCGCTCTCGCGTGCCGTCCCTTCCCTACCACCACCCAGCACCTCTCCACTGCTGCTGCTGCCACAAATACTGCTGCCAGTCCGCAATTCCCCACGGGCAGCACCACCATCACCATCAGCAGCAGCAGCAGCGGCAGGGGAAGCACAATCAGCAAGGCCAGAATCACCTGTGCAGGGCAGAGCTGCTGGTCTCCCTATACCCACACCAGGCCGCCTGCCTTCCACCATCCCGCCGCCTCTAGAATTGCCCTGCCCACCTGCCCCTACCGCAGCACCCAAAGCAGCACCCAACGCAGCACCCGCTCTGTTTCGCTGCCCCGCAACCATACTCGTGCTCACTGCACCGCCGCCACTGCCGCTGCTGCTGCCAATGCCACTGCCGACGCTGCCGGTGGTTATTGTAGCAGCAGCAGCAGCAGCAGCAGCAGCAGCAGCAGCAGCAGCAGCAGCAGCAGCAGCAGCACCACCACCACCACCACCACCACCACCACCACCAACAACACTCTCCACGATCCCTTGCCGTCTCTCTTCTGGCCACCCTTCCTCTCCAACCCTCTCTCGCTCCTGAACACCCCTCCCATCCACCACTCCTCCTCCTCCCCCAACCATCCCTCTGCCCCTGCCACCCATCCGCCCCCCTGCCTTGCCACCTCTCCCTCCCCCAACTGCAGATGCCCCAGTCACCACAGTCCCCGCTGCACTCGCCCCACCACTTACCCCACCGATTACCCCACTACTAGCCCTCCTTATAGGAGTCATCAAAGCAGACGGGCCTGCCCTGTCCCCTCCTCCGGCAGAGGTTCCCCCTCCCCCAACATGCCCTCTCCCCCCACCTGCCGGCCCTCCCCCCCCTATCCGTCCCCCTCTTCCACCCACTCGCTCCTCTTCCAGTCTATGCATTCCCACACCATGCGCAGCCCCCACATGCATTCCCCCACCATGTGGCCCCCCTGCATGCGCCCCTCCTGTGTGTTGCCCCTTGCCAATCACTATTCTTTCACTAGAATGCCTCCCCTGTCCTTGCCCCTGCCCCTGCCCCTGCCCCTGCCCCTGCCCCTGCCCCTGCCCCTGCCCCTGCCCCTGCCCCTGCCCCTGCTGCTGCTGCTGCTGCCCCTGCCCCTGCCCTCTTCCCTCACCGTCTCTCTCCCTCTGCGCCAAGTCACCAGCCCCACCGGTCCTGCTTTCCTCCCTGCACCCGCCACCACCCGCTTCCCCAAGCCCCTCGCCTCCCCCTCCCGATCCCTCCGCCTCCCCCGCAGCAGCAACAGACGCAGCAGCAGCAGCAGAGGCAGAAGCAGATGCAGAAGCAGCAGCGCCAGCAGCAGCAGCAGCAGCAGCCACCACTAGCATACCGCGAAACCGGTCTTCTCGGCGGTGAAACAAGCCTGGCAGCCGCACCCCCGCCCGGCTGCCCAGGCGAGCGCACAGAGCAGGGGGAGAGCGGAGAGCTCCCCAAATACGACGCCCCAATGCCACTCGCAAGCACACTCCCTCCGCGCCTCCCCACACTCCCCCCGCCTCCAGGCCTTGTCTCGGCTGTGCGGGGCCGCTGCACGGGCGCAATCACGCACCTGCCTGCTCGGGACGAGCCGATGCTGCTGATGTGCTGGTATGTGGGGCGCCGGCGCGGTTGTGACGAGGAGGAGGAGGAGGAGCCGCCCTCGTCTCGTTCTGCGTCGGCTGCTGCTGCACTGTCCTGTATTGATTCAGGGCCCCCTGTTGCTGCCCCCTGCCCCTGCTGCCCCTGCTGCCCCTGCTGCCCCTGCTGCCCCTGCTGCCCCTGCTGCCCCTGCTGCCCCTGCTGCCCCTGCTGCTCCTGCTGCTCCTGCTGCTCCTGCTGCCCCTGCTGCTCCTGCTGCTCCTGCTGCTCCTGCTGCTCCTGCTGCTCCTGCTGCCCCTGCTGCTCCTGCTGCTCCTGCTGCTCCTGCTGCTCCTGCTGCTCCTGCTGCTCCTGCTGCTGCTGCAGATGTTGTTGTGGTTGCTGGTGTAGCAGCAGGGTTAGGAGCAGCAACGCTGCCCGCACTGCTCGCATTGCTCGCACTGCCTTGTCTCTCCTCACCAGCACTCGCGCGTGTGGCAGTGTGAGCATCAGCATCTGCTACCTCCCTGCTGCTTTCATCCCCCCGACTCCACACCCCACCACCACCACCAGAGGCAGCACCGGCACCACCAGCAGCAGCCGCACCGCTACCACCAGCACTACCAGCTGCAGCTGCAGCTGCTACTACCATCCCTGTGCTCCCACTTGCCTCGTCACCACCACCCCTAAATTCCCGTCCACTCCTCTCAACCCCAGACCTCTCCCCAGCCCTATCCACAGCACCTAGCCCCCCTCTGCCTGATCGTCCCCCCGACCTGGGCGTGCCACAGCCCAGGCCTTCTGCTTCCGCTGCCAACACTGCTGCACTTGCTGCCCGAGCCTCCACCGCCCCCGCACCCAACGGCGCAGCTGCAGCAGCAACAGCAGCAGCAGCGACAGAACTGCTGCGACCACCCGATGCCGTTGCTGCTCCTGCAGTTAAACCACCACCACCACCACCACCACCGCTGCTGCCACTGATCCCTCTAGCCCGCCCCGCTCTGCTTCCACCTACCGCTCCTCTCCTCCCGCCCACCCTCCTCCTCCTCCCACTACCCGACCTCTCATCCGCATCTTCCATCCCATCATCCTCCCCTCCATCCTCCTCCCCCTCAACCCCCCCACCCCACACGCCCTCCCTTCCCCTACCACGTCCTTCCCCATCCCCACTCACCCCCCCCTCATCCCCTCCGTCCTCCCCTTCCTCCGCCCCCTCACCCCCCTCGTCCCCCCCATCCTCCGCCCTCCCGTCCTCTGCATGCACATCAGTGGCAACATCCCTGTCAAGTGCTCTCCAGGCGGACGCCATTAGAGCACTGTCAATGCCACTCTTAGACCGCAGAGGCAGCACCCGCCTTCTCAATGCCATCTCCCCCCGCGGCTGTGCTCTCCGGTATTTGCTTGCGCTCGAACCCACACCAACACCACCGGTACCACCACCACCACCACCACCAGCACCAACCGAGTCAGCAACAGCACCTGCAGTCGCTGCAGCAGCAGCACCTGCTGCTGCCACTCCACCCAACGCCCCGTCCGCTTCACCGGCGGCGTCACCAGGAGAGTCAGCAAGGGCAGCAGCGGCAGCGGCGGCAGAAACAGACGGGGAGAAAAGCGAGCCGGCGCGAGCTAGAGCAAGCTTGCAGGGAGCAGGAGAGAGCGCAAAGGTTGCCGAGGAGGGGGAGGCAGAGGAGGAGGAGGAGGAAAAAGAGCCGGTAGCGGAAGCAGCAGAAGCAGCAGCAGCAGCAGAAGCAAGCCAGCGGTGGGAGAGGACGTGGTGCAGGGAGGGTCGGTGCTGCGGGTCTAGAGAGCACATGCGCTGAATGAGATCCTTGGCTGCGGGCGAGATGAGCTGCCACTGCCGCGACGTGAAGTCTAAGTACCCCTGACACACGCTCTCATACGTCTCCTCCACTGTCTCGCCCCAGAAGGGTAGGATGCCTGGCGGCGAGGGGAAGCAAACGCGGGTGAAGGGGGATGAGGTGGTGGGCAGAGAAGAGGAGAGTTTTGGGACGTGTCAAAGGAAGGCGAGGATGCCGGGCCGGGGGGGAGCACAGAGCGGGGACGCGGCAGAGGAGATGCGTGCAAGGAGGGAGGGCGGGCGGGCATGGAGCGAGAGGGCAGGGAACGTAGGAGCACAGGACAGCGCACCTGAGAGCATGATGTAGAGCAGCACTCCTAAGCTCCACACATCCGCAGGGAATGAGTAAGCCATGCCCTGCACGACCTCCGGCCGGCGCCATGTACAAGGACGACCCCGCGAGCCCCACTGCACGCCTTTTGAGTCGACTCACAAGTCACCACCATGTTACAGCGCACCCACCTGAGAGCATGATGTAAAGCAGCACCCCGAGGCTCCACACGTCCGCGGGAAAAGAGTACGCCATGCCTTGCACGACCTCGGGCGCCATGTAGAAGGACGACCCTGCGAGCCCCACAGCGCGCGCCCCTGGGGGCAGGTGCACGGCGAGGCCAAAGTCGGCGAGCTTGGGGTTGAGCGCGGTGGCATCGGCGAGGAGAATGTTCTCGGGCTTGAGGTCCCGGTGCACGATGCTCTTGGCGTGGCAGTACCCCACCGCGTCCACTATCTTCCTGGGATGGGGGGGAAGTGAGGGGAGTTGGGGGGAGATTGGGGGGGAAGGGAGGGAGGAGAATGGAAGAGAGGGGGGAGAGATGGTGGGAGAGATTGTGAAATGCGGGGAGATGGGAGGAGAGGGAGGTTGTGGTGGGAGTGGGTTGGGGCAGAGGGGAGAAGAAGGGCGGGGAGGCGGCCACTCTCGCCACACGCCATGCTGCTCATCCCACACTCCGCAAGAGGAGCGTACCCGCCCCATTCTCGGCATCCCAGCACCCAGCACCCAGCGCGCAGCATCCAGCGCACAGCAGCGCGCAGCTTCCAGCTCCGCGCGCGCGCTCCCCGCCCCGCCCCGCCCCGCCCGCCCGCGCACCGCCCCACCTGAACATGTGGCGCGCGTCGTTCTCGGAGAGGTGGTCGGAGCGCGCGAGGAGGTCGAAGAGGTCGCCGCCATGGCAGAGCTCCATGACCATGTGCACGTGCTCGTCGTCCTCGTACACCGCCTCCGCCTCCACGATGTGCGCGTGCCCCACCACCGCGCGCATCACCGCCATCTCCGTCCGCAGCTCCTCCACCTGCTGCTCCTCCTGCGCGCGCGCGCGGGGAGGGGGGCGGGGGAACAGGGGGCGGGGGACGGAGAAAGGGTTGGAAGAAGGGAGGTTTCTGCGCCCGGGTTCGCCGGCGCGCGTTGGTATGGGGGGAGAGGGGAGTTGGGGGGCGCGCGCCTGCTTGTGCGGAATGGGGGGAGGGTGGTGCGGGGGCGAGATAGTGGCTAAATCCCCTGTTCCCCTGGCTGCGGCAAGTACCATCAGTGCCACGCAGGCGATAGTTCGTATGTGATGGTCGCTTGCGACGACGGGCAAAATGGCTGCGGTTGCGGGTGCTGGTGCGGGTGAACGGGTGCGCGTGCGCGAGCGCGAGGGGAAGGAGCGCGGAGGGCGTGCGGAGGTCGTGCGGAGGGGGGCGTGCAGAGGTAGTGCGGAGGGGGGCGTGCGGAGGTCGTGCGGAGGGGGGCGTGCGGAGGTCGTGCGGAGGGGGGCGTGCGGAGGTCGTGCCTTGAGATTGGCCTTGCTGATGGACTTGCACGCCAGCACGCGCCCCGTCTTGCGGTGCACGCACGGCCGCACCACGCCGTATCGCCCGCGCCCGAACTCCTTCCCGCGCACCATGTAGTCGCGGTGCAAACTGCGCTTCGCGTACGCTAATATGTACCCGTTGCTTCCGCTTCCGCCGCTGCCTCCGCCGCTGCTTCCGCCGCCGCCGCCGCCGCCGCCGCCACCTGGCATGCGCGGGTGCGGTGAGAATGGCGGAAGAAGGGAGGTTGATGACGGATAGGGGACAGATAGCAGGCGCGAGGGGAGGCGGGATGGCAAGATAGCGGGGTGAAAGGGAAACAGACAGGGCGGCGGGGAAGGAAGATGCGCATTCCAGGCCAAACCACGGAGAGGATTAGAAGGAGTAAATGTGTAGAACGAGCGGGAGAAGCGAGATGCTTCGCAGGACGGAAATGCACATGGATATCTCAAAGGTTTGACGTCGTGGCGAGCTGATGAAGCTACTAAAAGCATGAGACGCAATGACCTCCGCCAGCGCCGGTTGTGACGAGGGCGGGACGTGAACGGCGGCGATGCAAGAGGTACTTATTCTCGATAGTCGGAAATTATCTTGACTACGTCACGGAATAGGACGCGTTAAGTGAGGCGCCGGCCGCTTCTTAACTAGATAGAGCTTACAGGTATCCGTAAACGTTGGCTCGCTATGGGAAAAACGTGGCCGATGGGTGCAATGGATGTGTTGGTTCGAAGTGGCGGATGCAATGCAGGGTGATTATGAAGAGCAATAACCTGATGCCATGGACGAAGAGTCGAGCCGCGAAATGCGGCAATCAAGACCCTGATCCCGCCACCGCCTGGTGCTCGCGCCGATACCCTAAGCCTCCGAAGTCACCTCCTATCATGGTCATGGCGCGGGTACTGCGAAAATTACGCTGGAAACAAACCAGCGATTTTGCCAGAAGGGTAGATTCGATTAGTCGCTCGGGGGGGCTGATGCCACCATGTCCTGACCTACCCTGCATTGTTAGCATAGCAAAGCAAGACGCGGGTACGGCACGAGGTTAAGCATGCATTATGGTTGGGTGTGGCTCAATGGTATGCAAGGAAGAGCATGTGCATCTCATCATGAAACCCAGATGAAGTTGGAATCCAGCCAGACCACCAGACGTTACAGACTCCAGGCAGGATTTACCCGATATGTATTGCGTTTCTGAAATGTTTCTGAGTTTTTTACTTAGCCAAGCACTCCCAAACTGTAGGACATGAAGTTTCTGCATCACCTCGTCCTGGCTCACACTGGAAAAGATCGAAAGAATACGCTAGATAACGCATTTGTTCTTTGATCGAAACGCTGGGTTCCTTCTACTGTATGCGCAAGTCCCTGCCATTGAGCAGAAAAGCGTGGAGCCGTTGTACCCAGTTCACGGGACGAACCATTCTAGAGATGAGACTCGCGGTCGTATTTTCGTTCCGAGTTCAGTGCAAGACAGATGAACCCAGATTTGAAACTTTTAGGACGTGTATGATTTTTTTCTAGGTTCAGAAAGCAGGTCGAACTTTGTGTGATTACCCGCTTCGTTAATTTCGCGAAAGCTTTGTGACGAAAGACTTTCCTTTTGAAGACGTGGCAAATTCGACCTAGGTTTTCCGAACTCGACTCGAAAATGCACTAATGTGGGCGCGTACAGTGAACCGAACATGTGTGTTTTGCGCACGTACGACAATTAACGAGTTCTGCGAAACTTTTGCGACACAATGTAACCCTCGTCAAAAATCGCAGTCTGTATGTTGAGCTGGCGCGATGTCTACAAAATTATACCTGGTAACCTACAACTCCTACGAGCGGCTCGGCTCACCCCCTATAAGGTCGAACATTCAAATTCGACCTTGGGTGTGTGATTTGACCTACTTGAAACTCTCATGCGCGGTTCAAAATTCACGTTCAATGGAAGTCGAACACTGTTCGGCTCAAGTTCAAATGCTACATTCGACAAAAAAATGCAAACTTTGCCAATTTCAAAAATCATACACGTCCTTAGGTGACCGAAAAGGGGAATGTGTGGGGGCAGTGCCGCCGCCTTGAAGGGGAAGGTTGATCAAGTTGAGGGGCTTGATCATTGGGTGGGGGTGCTGCCCCAATCCCCCTCCAAAGCTCTGCCGATCTGTTCGGCAGGTCATGGGGGGGGGAGGAGAAAAACTTTTGAGGGGTTTGAGGGGATGGATGGAGGAATAGAGGGACTGGGAATCATGAGGGTTGTTGAGATCGCGCTCCGAGCCCAAGAGAATACGGGCAAGCGTCCGTTGTCGTATATGACGACGGACAGGTCGTCGGTGAGTTGGCTCCAGCTTTGTTGGTCCTCCTCGTGTTCTGTGCTTGCCAGCTTTGCCGGTCTGGAAAAGTCGTGGATTTTGAGCGAACACCGAGTGTGGCGGAAGGGGAAACCAATAAAAACAAAAATGATATTTTGCCTTCAATGTGCTGCTGTGCACCACAGGCAGGCGGGCCTTCACATATATCATTGACTCTAAGCTGAGGGATGCCAACCTAGAAAAATCAGCATAAACTTTATGGGAAGTTCATTAGACAATGGAAACATACTGCCGATCTCTATTGAGATCGATGAATACGGAATTGTGCCACTGAACTCGTGAAAAGGTTCGAATTTTCTCTTCTGCTATCAACTGGCACCACTCAGTTTATAGTACCATAGAACCCATTCGCAAGGCCTGCTTCTCACCTCTGCAGCGTGTAAACACAGCACAAATTCTACACACCAGACAGTAAGGGTACATTCCTGAAGCGCGTCACAAAAGCATCGTGTCTCAAACGAAGAGATACAGTGCGGTGCAAATGTTTGTCTCTTAGGTTTAATGCGGTGCAGAACGATACATAGGTTTTGTGACAGGATTGAGACATTTGTGTCCACACAGGAATGTACCCTAAGACTGCAGAGTGACCCCATGTCCGCAGTACATCCACATACCTACCACCCCATGCCACTGTGCAACGCATACAACCGCACTTAACGGATCCTCACATCACAAAACAACTCCACACCAGAACCAACCGCACAACACCGCTCAAACAGCATCACCAGTGCAGTGCAGGCCTTGCATGTCTAGTCTGAGCAGCTCTGCATCCACCTCCCGCACCATGTCTGCCAACTGCTGCACCGTGTCACTCAGCTGCCCCAGCGCTCGCCGCACCCTCACTGCCTGATGCCCGTCCAGACCTCGCTTCTGTGCAGACACAACACCAGCACCAGCACCACCAGCAGCAGCAGCACCAGCAGCACCTGAAGGAGCAGCCGCAGAGCCAGAAGCAGTGGCAGTTGCATTAGCACCAGCACCAGTGGCTCCATCCGAGGGTTCGCGGCCGTTGCTGTATGGATCAGGCTTAGCAGGGCTCTGCTTGTCGCTGCCGTTGCTGCTGCTGTTGCTGTTGCCGCTGCTGCTGCTGTGGGCTTCAGCTATGTGCTCCCAGCGCGACTGCAGGTGGGAGGCAGAGTCCAGCAGCAGGGGCAGCTCGTGATGCTGTAACGCGTCTGTGGTGCACGAGAGTATGGGGATGGTTCGGTGGGGGATATGGAGGGAAGAGTGGATGGGGTGATGGGTGCATGGGCGCATGGGTGCATGGGTGCATGGGTGCATGTGGAGATCATAATGACTTACAGAGGGCAGGTAGAGGGATGGAGGACAATAAGCGCGCCACATGGGCCGGGCAAAGAATGAGCAGGAAGCATTGAGGCAGCCGAAACAGGCAGGTGTGTGCACGTGCGTATCATCTCATCAGTCCTTAGGGGCATTACTCAGCGAGACATGGACGGACGGTACATGGACCAACCAAACACATGTAGAAGCACTTGGGGTGAGAGACCGACCAAACACTACCGGACCTCATCAAACCCCACCAGACCCCTCCATACCCCACCACACCCCACCAGACCCAACCATACCCCACCACACCCCACCAGACCCAGCAGAGGGCCAGCAGCCGTGAACGAGCAATGGCCCAAGCAACGTCCCAACCACTGACCCAATCTCCTCCAATTCCACCTGTAACTCACCGAGTTCCCCCTTAGTTGCCTCTCAGCAACAGACAGCGTGTGTCTCCCCCACCCAGCGCAAAGCCCCCAAGCATCCGCTCTGGAAAAACGTAACTTGCCAGCCAGACAACAACTCCCCTCCCCTCCAACTCCACCTGTAACTCACCCAATTCCCCCTTAAGCTGCCTCTCAGCCACAGACAGCGTGTGTCTCCCCCACCCAGCCCTGGCGCGGGCCTTCTCCACGCGGTGCATGAGGTGCTGGTTGATGCGCAGGCGCTCCTGCACGCGCGCTGTTAGCCCCGCACACACATCCCCCTCCACCTGTGCTATGCGCTGCAGCCGCTCCACCCGCGCCCGCTGCTGCTCCACCTGCTGCTGCACCCACTGCTCGTGCGCCCGCACCTCCACGTACGCCTGTACGGGACATGAGGGAAGACGAGGGGAACGAGAACGTGGGCTTTTGAGTCGACCCAAAAGTCAACCCGCTGCTGCTCCACCTGCTGCTGCACCCACTGCTCGTGCGCCCGCACCTCCACGTACGCCTGTACGGGAAGTAAGGGGGGGAAGACGAGGGGAAGGGGAAAGTGGGTGCGGGTTTCGCCGACTCAGTATGGAGTTTGGAGGGGACGGGAATGGAGCAGGGAGTGATGTGGGTGAGGGGGAGAAGGGGTCAGGGAAAGATACACAGAAAGAAGAGACAGGATCTGCATGTGTGATCGCAATGTGCCAGGGAATGAAGTTGAAAGTCGGGAGGTGACGAGAGAAATAAATAGAACGCGAACAGAGACAGCTGTTTAGGTGCCTCAACCGAGCAGATCACATACGGCATGGGCATAGGCGACGTGAGAGGCATGCATCGCCTTGGCGCAGGAGTGCAGCATGGCCTTGCCCTCCATGGATGATGCCGCTGCCTTGCGCACCGCTGCTGGCACCTGCTCTAGCACCTGCATGTGCTCCATGCCATGTGATGCGACATGCCATGCCATGCCATGCACATGCATGTGACATGCGGCACATGCACATGTACACACGTGCATGCACATGAATGGGGAACGAGGCAAAACAAGCAGTGATAAAGCACGTACACAAAGGGCATGAGGGAAGAGAGGGGAGAAGGGAAGTTCATAAGACAGTGGCAGTGTAAAAAGAAGAACGACAGAGAACAAAGAAAAGAAAGCAAAGCCGGAGCACACGCGTGCGAGCCGCATGCACACACACAAAACTCCTCACCCTCCTCACCCCACCCAATACACACCTCATACCGTCCCTAACCCTCACCCTCACCCTCACCCTCACCCTCACCCTCACCCTCACCTGCATAGTCTGAGACTCTGAGCACACTTCCCACCTCTCCTCCAGCTGCTCCAGCAAGACTCAAGCTCTTGCGCGGACACAAGACAAGACTCCCCTCAAATTCACCCACTCCTCACCTGCGAGGCAGATGTAGCAGGACCTTGTAGCACCCTCTCACTCAATCCCCGCCCTGCCATCTCCTCCTCTTCCTCCACACTCCTCCCCTCGCCCTCCTCCTCCTCCCCCGCTCCGTCCACCCCTTCCACAAGCGCTATACCCGGTCGTCGCACTCTCAGCACAGCACACCCCCCTCCTGCATCCACTGTCACCACCACACGCTCCTCCCCACCCCCGCCCCTCTCTGCTCCTACGGTGAGTCCCCTACTGCTGCGGGATAGCACTGCTAGGCCGATACAGGGGACACCAGCAGAAGATGGGGTAGGAGAAGCAGCAGGAGGCGAAGAGGCGGAGGAGGGGAGAGCAGAGGAGGGACGCGAAGAGGAGAAGTGGGAAGAGGACGACAAAGAGGAGGAAGAGGTGGAAGAGGAGGCGGGGGAGGAGGAGGAGGAGTAGATGCTGTAGACTTCGACGGAGGGGAGGGCCTTGTGGCGGGCGGAGAGGGCGTCGTGTTGATCGGAGAAGGGCAGCCAGCGCAGCAGCACTGCGTCCACTCCCCATGCGTGCGCGCACAGCACAAAGTCAGGCACGCGCGCATCCACATGCAGGTCTATGCGCGGCAGATGCAACGGCGATAACGAGGAGGAGGAGGTGGAGGATCCGCGAGCTACTGATGCTACTGATGCATTCGTTGCTGCTGACAGGCGTGACTTGGACGGCTGTGGCTGTGGTTTGGACGATGGTGGAGGTGGCTTGGACGAAGAAGGGAGAGGGGAAGAGGAAGAGGGCAGGGAGAGGTCGACTCGGCCGAAGAGCAGCAGCGGGGGGGGACGGCCAGCCCACACCACAGCACCATCCGCGCCTCCCTCCCCCGCACTATCAGCACCAGCAACAGCACCACCTGCAGCACCAGCGGCACCAGGGGACGGCACGGACAGCGGCGGTTGCGAGCGAGCAGTCATGGAAACTGACTGCAGTGAGCCGTGGCGGGAGGAGGTGACAAGGGCGGGCGCGCGCGCAGTGTCCCACATGGGGTGCACCTCGTCCGCCATGACCAGCACACGCACTGTGCCGCCCTTCTCCCCCACCAGCAATACGCTGTCCTGCCCCACCACTGTCAGCGCCAGGCAGCAGGGGAGCGATGGGGGAGATGAGGGGGAGATGGCGGGCGAGGAGGAGGGGGAGGAGAGGGATGGGTCGTCCCCGGTTATCGTGGGGAAGGGGCCCTGGTGGGTGGGGCGGAGGGGGGTTGAGGGAGACGATGCGAAGCGAGGGAGGAGCGGGAAAGCAAGAGGGGTCAGAGGTGGGAGTGGGGGATGGGGGGTGCAGGGTGGAAGTGCAAGGTGCGGGTGGAGGGTAGGGGTAAAGGATGAAGGTGAGGGGTGGGGGTGGAGGGTGGAAAGGAAATAGCAGAGCAGAGCAGAGCAGGGCAGGGCAGGGCAGAGCAGAGCAGGGCAGAGCAGAGCAGGGCAGGGCAGGGCAGAGCAGAGCAGGGCAGAGCAGAGCAGGGCAGAGCAAAGCACAGCAGGGCAGGGCAGGGCAGGGCAGAGCAGAGTAATCACGAGAAATCAGCAGCATACACCACCCCACCCCACCCACCTGCAGTACAAGTGAAGAGCTCCCAATGGCATAGCGAGCAGATTTCACCAGCCCGGCTCCTCCACCCTCACCACCATCTCCCCCCTGCTCCCTCTCCTGCCCCGTCCCCAGCATCACCCGAGCACCAGCGGCAGTATCCGGGGAGTGGGAGGAGTTTTGTAAATGTGCACGGTGAGGGGGGGTTCGGGGCTGTGGGAGGGTGTGGGAGAGCCAGGAGGAGGCGAGGAGCGCGTGTGTGCGTGCAGGGGCGGAGAGGGAGCAGCAATCAGCGTCCGCCCTTAGCTCTGCAATGGCTTTGGCTGACACCCACCTGGTGAGAGAGGTGTGGCGGATAGGGGGAGATACGGGGGAAGGGGTGGGAGGGGAGGGGGTCAGATATGAGAGGAGGGAGGGAGGGAGGGAGGGAGGGAGGGAGGGAGGGAGGGAGGGAGGGAGGGAGGGAGGGAGGGGAGGGAGGGAGGGAGGGAGGGAGGGAGGGAGGCAGCAGCAATCAGCTCAGCAGTCTGCAAATGCCTTAGCAAACAGCCACCTGGTGAAAGAGGTGTGGTGGATAGGGAACGGGGAGCGGGAGGATGGGGAGGAGGAGATGGAGGAACTGGGGGAGGGCTTGTGCAATAGAAAGTGCGAGAGGGCGAGAGGGAAAGAGGATTGAGGAGTACCAAGTGCAAGGAGGGGAAAGGAGGTCAATGCTTGCAAGTGCGTGACAGGCAGCTGAGAGCTGAGAGGTGGAGGTGCAGGTGGAGGGTGCGCTTACGAGTTGAAGGGAAGAAGAGGGCAGAGCGCGTATATGGAGCCGTCTTGAAAGCAGAAGAAGACCTGGGGGAGGAGAGCATTGGGCGGAGAGGCGGGGTCATGGTAAGCGGTGCATGGCAGGGGGTGCATGGCAGGGGGTGCATGGCAGGGGGTGCATAGCAGTTGGGCATGTGGGGGAGTGCATAGGGAGGAGGGCATGGGGGGGTTGCATGGGTGCAGGTGCATTTGGGGGGAAGGAATATATTGGATGCATGGTTTGAAGTTTTTGCTTTGGGGTTGGGGAGCAAAGCAAAAGGCCAGGATGTATGCATAAGGGAGGGTTGTTGAGCGGACAAGGAAGAGAGAGAGGCAAAGAGTGGGAGTAGGGTTGCACCAAACCCACCCCAGCCATCCCCTCACCATCCCACAACTCCACCATCCCAGCATCCCAGCATCCCAGCATCCCAGCATCCCAGCATCCCAGCATCCCGGCACCATGGCAGCATGCAGCACAGCAGTGCATGGGATGGAATGGAAGCAAGTGACAGACTCACCGAGAAGCGCTCCCAGATGTGGTCGCCGCCAAAGGCAAACCCCACACACGCACCAGGGGACCCCACCCCCGCACTCCCTCCTCCTGCCGCTGCACCAGCTGACGCGGCAGCTGACGTGGCTGGCTGCAGCACGTATTCCTGCTCGACTGCTGCTGTGGCGGATGCGCGCTGCTGTGGGGAGGTGGCTGCAGAGTGGGCGGCTGCTGAGATGTCGTACAGCCTGGCAGGGTGGCGCGGCACGGCAGGTAGTCGATCGGGCAGGCAGGTATGAATGGGGGTGCTCGAGGGTATGAGACGAGTGCGCATGGTACATGGCATGGTACATGGCATGGTACATGGCATGGTACATGGAGGCAGAAAGGAATGAAGGAAAAGGGAAAGTGGGGGAGAAAACGTGGAAGTCAGGCAGACCCCAAAACCCGGAGCGAGGGGTAGAGGGTTGGAGGGAGGGAGGAACGGAGGGAGGGATGGAGCGGAGGGAGGTGGCTGCAGAGTGGGCGGCTGCTGAGATGTCGTACAGCCTGGCAGGGTGGCGCGGCACGGCAGGTAGTCGATCGGGCAGGCAGGTATGAATGGGGGTGTGTGAGGGTGCGTGAGGGTGTGAGACGAGTGGGACTGGTACATGGGCTTGGTACATGGGCATGGTACATGGGCATGGTACATGAACGCAGGACGGAATGAAGGAAAAGCGGAAGCAGGGAAAAAAGGGTGGTAGTCAGGGAGACTTGGAAAGGGGAGCATGGGAACGAACGAGGGGTGGAGGGTTGAAGGGAAGGAGGAATGGAGGGGTGGATGGGTGGAGGGGTGGAGGGAGGCACCTGAAGACGTTGTCAGAGGTGAGGAGGGCGATGTGCGCGTCACTGAGCGGGTGCCATGCCGCCTGCACCACGTGCACCGCCTCCCCCTGGAAGTCCGCCACCCGCACACTGCCATGCACGTGGCAGTAGGGCAGTAGGGCAGCAGGGCAGCAGGGCAACAGGGCAGCAGGGAGGGACGAACGGACGTGATGTGAAGTGGGATGACGGGAGAGAGACATGGGGCAAGCGAGGGAGGGAGAGAGACAGATACAGAGAGGTTCCGTGTGGGTGGGTGGGAGGCTAGGCGAGGGGAGGGGATTGTGGTCAAGGAGACTGATGATTGGAAATTGGGGAAATAAGCGAGTTGAAACCCATGAACCATGCCCTATCGTGCATCACCCGCCCACCAAACCCCCACCAACAAGTACACCACCCACCACCCAGCACCCCACCACCCACCACCCACCACCCACCACCCACCATGGAACAGCATCAGCATCATCAGCGCGCATGTCTCCCCCCAGCCCCGGCCTGCCCGCCTGTGTGCGCAGGCGCGCAGCAGCAGAGGAGACGTCCGCAACGGCGAGGGCGGAGGGCGAGAGCAGCGCGAGGGAGCGCCCGGAGGGGGACAGCAGCAGCTGCCGCACGGGAGCGGGCGGTTCGGGGAAGAGCGGCATGCGGATGGACTGGGGGGAGGGCGGGAGGGGTGAGAGGAGGAGAAGAAAGGGGGGAAACGGGGGAATGGGGAGGGGAAAGGGAGTATGGCGGGGAAAAGAGGGACGGGGGAATGGGAGAAGGCGGAAGCGGGAAAGGGTAAGGAGGTGAGGAAGGTGGGGACTGGGAAGCGGTGTGTACGATACGATGTTAGGTCTACTCTGGTGACTAGGTCCCAACCTCGCTGTTTCACTGCGCCGCTAACCACGCAGTAATCGGCACAGCAAACCACACAGGCCTCCATCCCGCACATCCCAACAAGCCATCATACGCGCGGCGCCGCCACCACCGCACCGCACTCACGTCACACGCGCCCGCGGCCGGATCTGCCGCTGCGTCCGAGTCCGCGTAAGCGCCGCTCGCTGCGCGCGCACCGCATCCCACGACCGTCAGCGCCTCGCCGCCGGGCCGCCAGCAGTACAGCAGCCCCTCGTTACTGTCACTCGCGACGAGTCTGTACGGAAGCGACGGCGACGGCGACGCGCCGTCGGCGGCAGAGGGCAATGAAATCGGCGACGGCCCGCCGAACACGGCGGAGACTGCGGCGTGAAGATCGGAGTATGGAGCTGCAGCTGACGGAAGCCCCGCCGGCGCAGGCAGCGGCGATTGCGCGGCGGGGGCAAAAGCCACGCGCGCGAGCGTCGCGCTTTGCGCCATGCTGGTCCCTCCGCGATAAGGCAGCGGGGGAAAACAGCAAGTACCGGGAGCGGGGGAACAAGCGTGAGGATTCGCAAAAACACCGCAGGCGGCGGAGACGAAATCTCCGAAAGCTGGCTTCAAATCGGATGCTAGATCTCGCACGTCAAACACAACGTGACTATCGGCGCTTGGCGGAAAGCCTGCCTAAAATTTGACACGAATCACGACTGATCGTGAACGTCAGTGACACAGGGCAAAGCAGACCTAAGGTAGGATGCGTGGATTCTAGCCATGGAAGGCCGCATGTTCGATATAATCTGAATGATGGCAAGCGTCTACACTCGATAAGTGCGAGTGGAAATACCCTAGCTCCCAGGTTCTTTTTCAGAAGAGCAAAGGTGTAATGCACTAGAATTCAAATCTACTGTATTCATTTACCTAGCCTGTGCTTCTGGTGCCCTACACAGCACTACTGTTACCGGTGCCTCACTCCACCCATTTCCAGTGATCACCCAGGATCGACATCTCTTCATTCACTGACTAGATGGAGAGTGCTTCATCCAAGTGAATCAATAATCAGCCCAGGCAGTGCAACAAGGACAACAGCAAGGCTTGCAGCAACAGACATGCTTCCTCTTTCATCTAGCGAGTCTTTCCAAGACACTCCATTTAAGTTCTGGGCGCAGCTGCAGCAGCACCAGGGGCACCGGGGGCACCCGGGCGAGCACCAGGCGCGCCAGGGGCACCAGGCTTGCCACGGTCGTCCATCTGTTGGGACACAGCGGAAGACACGGGTGGGAGGAGGGAAAGCGGGGGGGGGGGGGGGGGGGGGGGGGGAAGCACGGAATGACTTCCCAAGTGGCTTGGGAAGCTGACAGGAGCGGCAAAACGGAAATACAATTCGAGCTTTTTGTGAAAGTGAGTACGAGGGTTTGGAACAACAGCAGTGTGCAGCTGCAACAGCTGAACAAAAAAAAGTCCGCGCACCCACCCTCTTCTCTCCCTCCCTCCCCTCTCCCTCCCTCCCTTCACCCCCTCCCCGCCCCACCCCTCAGCAAACCCCTCTCACCTTGCGCCCGGGCCTCTTGGGCGGCTCGCGAATGCGCCTAGCCTGGCGCGAGCGCACCCTCACGACGTGCGAGTGGATGGCGCACGAGATGCAGTACTGCACCTTCGCATACAGCTTCGGCAGCGCGTAGCCTGCGCGTGTGCGGGGGGGCGAGCGGAGCGGCGGAGGGGATGGGGGGAGGGAGGAAGAGAAACGGACGGGGGAGAGAGGGCGGAGGAGAGAGAGAGGAGAGAGAGAGAGGAGAGAGAGAGAGAGAGAGAGAGAGAGAGAGAGAGAGAGAGAGAGAGAGAGAGAGAGAGAGAGAGAGAGAGAGAGAGAGAGAGAGAGAGAGAGAGAGAGAGAGAGAGAGAGAGAGAGAGAGAGAGAGAGAGAGAGAGAGAGAGAGAGAGAGAGAGAGAGAGAGAGAGAGAGGAAAAGGATAGGTGATAAATGAGGAGTGGGTGGAGTGTGGATCGCACGCAGTCACAAGGGAGGAGGAGGAGGAAGAGCAGGAGGGAGAAACACAAGGGTGTGTAAAAAAGTGAGAGGAAGAGGGAGGGATGGAGAAAGAGGGAGGGATGGAGAAAGGGGAAAGGGAGCTACGGGAGATGTGCGAAGATCGTGACGACAAGTGCATCTTCAGGCATGGGGGGGCATCGGGCGAGAGGAATGCGATGCGCAGAATTCAGAGGGCAGGATTGGGAGCGGTGCGGGGACGGAAGGCGTAAGGCGGAAGGCGGAAAGCGGAGGGGAAGCGTTGCGCACTGACCATCATAGACGCATGCCTCCTGCACGTCCCTGACTGCTGCCTGCTCCACAATGTTCCTCACTAGGAACCGCTTCACCGCCTTGTCCTGCTCGCACGGGCACACTCGCACACGCAAACATGCGGCCCACACACAGAAAAACACACATACACTTAATAACGCGGAATCGAGCATGCCCGTCACACACGCCACGCCACAAGATCGACATCACAGACACACGCACGAGCATGAAGGGAGGAGCGTTTGGGGAATGCAACGACAGCGCAGCGACATCCACGCGGATTTGCATCGCTAGCCGTTGGGGATTGGTCTCTACTGCAGCGCGCAGCGATTTCACGAAAGGAAAACAAGAAATCAGGGGGTAGTGGCGGAGAGGGAGGAGGGCAGGAAAACGAGGGAGGTCCGGCCATGAGTAACGGAGAGGGACCGGGGTTGGTGGGAAGTGTGGCGAGCGTGTGGCGAGAGTGTGGCGAGCGTGTGGCGAGAGTGTGGCGAGCGTGTGGCGAGAGTGAGGCGCATGCCTTGGGGCAGCACTTGGCGCAGTTGGAGCAGCGGATGGGCTTCACGTGCCCGCGGCCGTGCTTGTTGCGACCTCCGTTCCTTCGCTTCACAGTCTGCCACCGCAACAATCACCACCAAAACAATCACCACCACCATAACCACCGCAACAATCGCCACCACCATCATCACCGCAACAATCACCACCACAACAATCGCCACCACCATAACCACCGCAACAATCGCCACCACCATAACCACCATCGCCACCACCGCAACAATCGCCAACACCAACAGAAGGAGAAAAGGGGAAAAGATCCGGTGAGGCAGTGGAAGAGGGGCGGGTGGAGGATCATGCGAGTGGCGCTACGCCATTGAAAGGAGTGAAGTCCGCTATTGAACAATGACGAGCGACTGGAGCTTTGGGAATGAGAGAACTACACAAGGGGTCGCTTTAAAATCGGCTGCGACAAGTAACCTGACGTCCCAAATCAGACCAGCTCAAGCAATTCCTATGTTGTGCCTGATAAAACACCTAGCAGTAAGCCTAACCGTCAGTACCACAGAGTCAGCATACGTGGAAGGACAATGACGGTCAACGTATCCCTGCAGCTCATAAACCCTAGACGATCCCAAGCGTGCTGTGCGCTCGACTAAAAAACGCTTTATACCCCGAAACCAAGCCACGCGATGGCATGAAATACGCATCGCGGCGAGACACAAGAAGCCCCAAACGCATCGTACCATGGTGTTCGGGTGGCGATTCGAGGAGAATAGGGGACTGCTGGAGGAGTGCCGCGTTAGGCACACGGAAGTCACAAGTTGAGGTGGAGAAAGAGAGGCGAGAGAACGAGAGGGAGGGGGTTTGACAGGGTGGAGGGAGACGCTGCAATCAGCAGAAACGGATGAGCGAACAGGTTTTGTTACAATCGCCAAAGAGAAGCGAAATCGGAAAAGTTACGGACCGACAGATGTTGGCGCAACTTGCTTTTGTTACGTTCAAAGTTTCATGGTATGAGAACCCCAAGAATTACAAAAACTCCTACACCATCAATTCAAGAACTTTTGGACAGTTTACTGGGCTTTACTCAAAAAGCAAAGAAACACAATCCACGCTGGAAACCCTGCCCACTTAACCAATCTAACAAAAAGTATAACATCAACCTGAATATACGAATTCCAGCTTTCACCCTGTCAATTCCCATTCACAAATGGTGAGTGCGAGCAGCTGCCATTCTCTCAAGTACCATATCAGGCCGCGCGTAGATATTCTTCTCGAAGAAATCTCCATCCACCACTTTCCCAACCTCCACATTTGAGGCGGCGGCGGATGGCAGCGACTTGGGAACAACACAGCTATGGTCAACCGTTTTGGGGAGGAACCGAGGCACCCTTCGAGAGGCACGGCTGGGATTTTCTGGGACCGTCAGCAGGGACGACACAGATGGAGGCGGCGGAGATCTCAACAACATGGTATAGGGATCTGAGTGATCTAGACACGGGGGTTTGAATGCCTCTGCACTCGGCATCCAATCCTGCTCCTTCTGTATCCCATGCTCCCATGCAAACGGCCGCTCCTCCTGCTCCTCCTCCTCTTCCCGCGGCTGCTGCCCTTGCTGGTGCTGCTCAAACAGGTCTGCCATGAACTGAAGCTGCTCCTGCTCTCCCCGCGCCTCACACGGCGCCACAACCCCTGCCGTATCAACAGCTGCTGCAGCAGCCTCTGCGGTATCCGCAGGTGCAGCGGCGGGGGTATCAGCAGCGACGGCATCGGAACCAGCAACGGGAGGGAGAGCAGCAGCAGAGGCAGACGGTTGCCAGTCAGGAACGAGAAGGTCGCAAAGCCCATCCAGCATCGCATCAAGAAGCACATCCGAGTCGCCATGCCCTTCCCCAGTCACAGCAGTACCCTTCCCTGCTCCCACCGCCGCTGCTGCTGCTACAGCACCAGTACCCTTCCCTGCTCCTCCGGCCCCACCTTGAGGAGCATTATTATCAGGAGCCGGTCCAAATTCTGGCAGGTTGGTCCCGGGTAGCGACTCATCCTTCGCTTCCACCCCTTGTCCTTGCTCCTCGCTCACACTCCGTCCCATGGACCCCAGCAGAGCCTGCAGCTGCTCAGGCCCTGCACTGCCTCCGTACATCCACCCAAACACCCCATCCTCCTTGCTCCTCTCCGCCAACGCCCCACCGCCACGCCCTGCCTCGTGCGCCTTCGCGCCTGCAGCTGGCTGGCTTGGCGGGAGCATGCGCATCGGCTTGTTCTCCGCGTGCTTCTTCCAATATGCTTCTTGCGCTGACGCCATTGCACCAGGAGCGGCAGCAGCAGCAGGGATGGCAGAAGGCGGAGCAGCGAAGCGAGACCCGCCAGCAAGAGCAGCAGTCGCCGCTGCAGAATAAGCCTGAGTTGATGCAGACGGCACGGGAGACGGCGAATAACCGGGAAGCCGAGACCTCAGGACAGACGCCAGAGCAGCAGCTCTAGGACAGGGAGCAGCAGCGGCAGCAGCAGCAGTGTTATTGGTGACGCCTACAGAAGCAGCAGCAGCCCGATCCATAGGCAAGTGACCGAGTCTGGTGCGAGGGAGTGTGCTGCGGGGCACTACTTGCTCCTGCATCTGCCACCCGGACGCGCGCTCCCCTGGAACACACTGCGCCATGCACACATCCTCCCTGTCCACCTCCCCGCTCGCGGAGTAACCCCATTTCTTCCCCTGCGCGCCGCTGCCCGCCGGGCCTGTTAACCCCGCGGACGCGATCGAGTGCGACAGCGAGACGGACGCCCGCGCCAGCGACGGCGACGCTGACGACGCGCACGGCGACGCGACAGGTCCCGGGACTCCCGGTCTGTTGCTCGCCGCGGCGGCCGCGTACGCGGAGGCGAAGGCGGAGTCGGCGGCAGCGGGGGGTGCGCGACAGGGGGCGGAGGACGAGAACGCGGCGGAGGATTGCGCGGGGGAACCAAGGAGGTGGCGGAGAATGGCGGAGGAGGCGGGGAAGTGAGATGCTGCGAGATGAGCGGCGGGCCGCTGCGCCTGCGCGAGTGCGGCGAGGGAGGCAGAGGCGACTGTATCGCCCATGGCAGCTGCTTGCAGCGGGAGAGAGGACGACGAAGAAGGCACGCGCGCTTCGCGAGTATCCGCGTAGAACGCGGAGGGAGCGCCGGCCGAAAACGCCGCGGGAGTAGATGCCATTGAAGCAGCAGCAGCTGCCGCCGCCGCCGCCGCCGCCGCCACCGACGACGTGGACGCGGCAGCCACCGTGTCGGCGGCGGCTTCCGCGCCGGCAAGAACGGGGCTCGAACCCGCACCCAGAAACGCCCGAATTGAAGGGAACAGGCGAACGGCAAGGTCCAAGTCCGCGCTCGCGGCGGCGACGGCGGCGGAGGCAGCGGCGGCGTTGGGGAAGGTCCCGGACGATGGCGGAAGGACTCCGTTTGCGGACGTTAGGGATGCGGAAAAGGCTTGCGCGTTGTTTGCGGCATCGACGCGCGGCTTGACACTGCGGGGACGAAGAGGATGGGGCAGGGTTGTGGGTACACGAGAGAAGGGTTGGAGTGTTGAGAGAGGAAAAGCATTCAATCTAGGACGGCGACGGCGACGGCGACGACGACGACGGCTACGACGACGACGACGGCTACGGCTACGACGACGGCTACGGCTACGACGACCACGACGACGAAGACGACGGCGACGGTCGGGGCGGATCCACACGTATAAACAAAAAGGCAAGAAGCTCAATAACAAGCATGAAGAAATCGAGCAGGGTGCGTGATTACCTTCGGGTCCATGGAGAATCGAGCAGGCCGCCACCGTTCGCCTCGACGCGTCCCCCTGGAAGAAAACGTAGCGCCGCCGCAGACGAGCCCTCGTCTGCCATCGTCTGCGTTCGAGCGCCTGCGGCAGCAGCGGCAGTAGCGGCGGCAGCGGCGGCGGCGGCGGCGCTCTCCTCGCGGCAGCGCTTGAGCTCGCCTTGGAGTTTCCGGCCCGCCGTGGCGGCCCACGTCATCAGCCGCTGGGTGCTCTGCGCCGCCGAATCCGTCCTGCACGCGCCCGCCTGTGACTCTCCATTCGCAGCGCCTGCCTCCGCTATCGTCGTCGCCGTCGCCGTCGCCGTCGCCGTCGTCGTCGCAGACCCTATCGCTGAAGGCGTCGCAGCGGTAGCCGCCGCGTGCGACAGATCTTGCGAAGGGTTTCGAGGAGATCGCGTGGATTCGGAGTCGTTCGGGTGGGAGGACAACGAGGCAATGGCGCGGTCATCCCGAGACGATAGCGCCTTGTTCTGGCCTCGCGGGCCGTTTTTGCCGCGCTCTAAGAAATGACGCCTGCATACAGAGAAACGCGACGCGAGACGGAACGCAGAGGCGAGCGCGGCACGCAAACGACACACGACACACACGGGACAGAAAGAGTGAGCGGAGGTTCAGACCGAATGCCTGAATGTGTACGAGGAGCAAGAAAACAGCGATAGTTTCAGCGTCGACAGATGCGAAAAAGGTCGGGGCCGGATGGTGATGATTGCACCGGGAGGAGGAGGATTTAGTGGGCCAGAAAGAACGAGTCGCACTTTTTAAGCAGAATGAAGCGATTGCAACACGCTTTTTGGTCCCGATGCGGCAGCGTCCCTGACGCTTGAAGGAAGCCCCAATACTTGGTCCCGTGCACTGCCACGTGTCGCAAGAGCACCAGATCCTCCTGTACAACGAACAAGAAACGAGATAAGAATGCGGAGGAAGAAATTCAGGACCTGAACGGGACAGAACGGAAATTAACGGCGGAGAGAGTGGGGGGAAGAGAAAAGTTGAGTTACCTCTGAGGTCCAAAGTGAGCCGACTTGCCGCAGGAAGGGAAACGTAACGCCGTCGGCCATCAGAAGCTGGGATGCTACCCGCCAGATGCAAACTCTGCCAGAAATCGAAGTATTATTTCTGTGATTCAACGACAAACTGACGCGAATGTACTCATGGGCTGGAATGGGAGGGTGGCAACGAGCAGGGTGGATGGGAGCTGAGTTGAGAGAGAGGGAGGAAGCAGGAGAAGTTGAGATGTGGCTGTGGTGGAGTCGAGTGCGGGTGTGGGTGGGACCAACCGAATTAAGGTGCCCCGCCCACCAAGCTGCCAGTTGTGGGCCGAGGGTGAAGGAAACGGGGACACGTGATTGGTGAACAAGGTACACTTCGTTGGAGGGACAAGGGTTCAAGATTCATCAAAATGGGGGTGTATCAAACGTTACCTTCCCCCAACGTTCAATAGTGATGATTCGTGAACCTCCTTTTTGCCAGAATCAAGGAGCAAAACTGTACACAGCTACAGATTTGGCCCGAAGCAACCTGCACCATCACCCGGTGGACGTGTGGTTTCGAGTTTCGTTTGAGCTGGGTGGCCAGATGCAGTTCCGGAATTACTACACCAAACATGTTACAAGAGGAAAACCGTGGGGATTGGAACAATGGTGTAGTGACTGGTTTTCCGATTAAACATTAGGATCACAGACGCAACGATGGGAACGTACAAAAAAAACGAACGTAGACGATAGTGAATCATATCTGTCAGGTGTATGGGATCTGGTGTGGAAGCCTGGTTGGCTTGGGATTGCTACACATCAGTCAAGCCAAAACATTCCAATGGGGCACAGGTTTCAATTCCTTGCCATCACTATACACCCTCATTCTCAGTCTACGCACAATCGGGAGCAGCGACAACAGTGTTGTCAGGTAGCGTCTCTGTGCTTGTGGCCGAACCCCCTAATGTTGCCAGGCACACCATGCACTTGAGTAAGTGTATCATATCTCATCCCCATAGTGTAATACGCTTGTTCTAGCCATTATTGTTCAGACAACGGTTACCAATTAAAGCTTCGACGTTCAGCCAGCTAAAAGTAGTCACGACCTCCCACGCTATTTGTGGCATACAGTTTTATGTTGTAGAAGGGCGAGTTGGTATACGCATTGTAAATCAAAACAAGGCTATCAGGATTGCAATGTCTAGCTCGCAACACAAGAACATCAATCGGGAGCAGCGACAACAGTGTTGTCAGGTAGCGTCTCTGTGCTTGTGGCCGAACCCCCTAATGTTGCCAGGCACACCATGCACCAAGCGCCAAAACAGTAACATTCGAAACGACTTGTTCACTTTGTCCTACACTGTGGCCAAAGATTCCACATCAAAACACACAAGAAACAGACAATTCCTAACACAGGTTCAAAACACATACAGAATATCTACGTTCGGTAGAAAGGGGTAACGTATGGTAGAGCGAAAACACATACAGAGCGCGGGGGGCGCGGCAGCAGTGGCGGGAACATGCGAGCTGCCCTGCGGGCCGCAGAAGCCCCTCCACGGGGTTGCTGCTGCTCGCCGCCTGCTGCTGCTGCTGTGCTCCATCAGGAAAAACGTATCTGCCCAGGGGGTGAGAGAGGGAGGCGAGGACGAGGGCGACCGAGAGGAGGGGGGAGAGGGAGATCGAGTGGTGGAGGAAAGGGCGTGGGGGGATAAGGGAAGAGAAAATGATGCGGAGCTGTTGTGGGGAACTGAGTGCTCACAGGGGGTGGAGGCGAGTGACACGGAGAGGGCGATGGGGAAATGGCAAGCAGCGCGTCGCGTGGCTGCGTCAACTAGGGCTACCCAAGCACACACAGCCCTAATCTTCCCTGCCACCCCACTGCTGCCCCACCTGTGCCCTGCCAGCGCATCTCCCCCGTTGTCAAAACACCCGTGCACCCATTGCTTGCCTCGCAGTTGCAGCGACTCGGTGGCGCACGGCATGCTGCGCAGCACGCGGAAGCCAAACGCCTCTCGCGGGCGTGGATCGTCGCTCTCCGGCCAGTCGAACAGCGCGTTGGCGACGAGCAGGCACGTCGCGATGGCGTCGTGCTGCTGCGACAGCGTCGCCGCCGTGCGAACCTCGAGGTCGAGGACGCGCGCGAGACCGTCGAAGCCTCTTAACAGGCGCGCGTCGACGGCTGCACCGATGCCGGGCGGCGCACCGCTCCCAACAATCCCCTCGGCTGTTCGCGGCGAGTCCGAATCCGCCGCCTCGGCCGCGGGGGTCGGCAGCGCGCTTCCCTCACGGCTCGCCGCCATTCTCCGCCGCGCGCGACCTTTCGCGATGCTGTCGACACGAAATGGTTAGCAAATGGGGCGAGCTGGCAAGAGGTGACAGCGGAAGTGCCGGGCGTGGGGAGGGCACGAAGAAAGCCCGTTGAAATGGCCGCAATCGCGATCGGACTAGCTAGTTGGAAAATCGCGTCTTCGTAGGCGATGTCTGTGTGGTCGCAAGGACAGGAAACAGTACTCAAGGCTCGCAATCGCAACCGTCACTGCTCGGAGGTAGCCGGGCAACAGTGGCCAGTTCGGGAATCCCCATGCATGGCGAATCCCGCCTCGTTACATCCTCCCTCCGCCCTCCCTGCTCCTTCACTCCCGTGTGGTGGTGGATAAGCAAGCCGCGACGCACGGGGTGTTCGAGCGTATGTGGCGTTGAGAGTGAGCAAGGCGAGGAGGAGCCGTGAAGCGCCATCGCGCCGTTCATGCGCGTCAACCAGCAATGTCACACGGCTCGCTCCGCCGCTAACGGGCCCCAGCCAGATCTGTCCAACAGATGGTCCCTCTGTAGCTCTAGTGCGGTGCAGTGCAGGCACGCGATGCCATGGTAGGAATGCGCTGCGATCGGACTGGCTAATGTGTCAACAGAGTTTCCATGAAAACTACCGTACCGTACCACCTCCCCTTTCAACATAGATTCCAGGCATTACCGTATGTGGTACACGTGTGTCTATGGCATCATTGAGAAGTACCGGTACACCCTCATTCTCAGTCTGTGCACAATCGCCACATGCACCGAACGCTTGTAGTGACTGCAACGTGCCTAGAATGGTGCATGCACATACTCTACAAGCACAATCACGACTGCCACGTTGGTAATGCAGCTGTTGACTTTGACTGGCAGGAAGTGTACAGTGCGCTCACATGTGTGGTTGGCTGCCGTTGCTTTTCGCTCTACCATACGTTACCCCTTTCTACCGAACGTAGATATTCTGTATGTGTTTTGAACCTGTGTTAGGAATTGTCTGTTTCTTGTGTGTTTTGATGTGGAATCTTTGGCCACAGTGTAGGACAAAGTGAACAAGTCGTTTCGAATGTTACTGTTTTGGCGCTTGGTGCATGGTGTGCCTGGCAACATTAGGGGGTTCGGCCACAAGCACAGAGACGCTACCTGACAACACTGTTGTCGCTGCTCCCGATTGATGTTCTTGTGTTGCGAGCTAGACATTGCAATCCTGATAGCCTTGTTTTGATTTACAATGCGTATACCAACTCGCCCTTCTACAACATAAAACTGTATGCCACAAATAGCGTGGGAGGTCGTGACTACTTTTAGCTGGCTGAACGTCGAAGCTTTAATTGGTAACCGTTGTCTGAACAATAATGGCTAGAACAAGCGTATTACACTATGGGGACGATATATGATACACTTACTCAGTGTGTCGTGAAAAAGTTCCGTGCTTAGAATGGCGATGTAACACTCATACTTATTTGAAATTTGTGTGGCATAAGGTGGTGAATCATGAATTAGTTGAAGACGTTGATGACGAACATATATATGCATGGACGAGCAACATGCTTTTCATTCGTCTGCCGTACTATTATATTATTTTGCAAGGACCTACTATTTATTTAAGAAAAAATACATTTCTTATCCGGTTGTAGTGCTCAAGGTATAACCCCTGTCCTGAAAGTATACGCTCGGCCGATGTTATTGACATTAATGTTGTATTGTGACGCCTTCAACGTTTCCTTTGTCCGACTTATACCCAATAACAAGTTTCCTCTTTTCTGGAATTTACTTGTTACATTTTCTGGTTGTTTGCATTGAATAATCAATCCATATTGTCACAACTTTGTTATTTGTTATTTCGTGCATTCTCTCTGAAAAAAAAAAATAGTTGGTACCGTAGCTATCTACTAGGTATGCCCTACTTTTCCAAGAAATTTTAGTGGCTCTGATATGATTGAAATGATGGGTTGCAAAGAGGTTGGCTTCGAGTTTGTTAGATTGCCCGACAGCTATTGCGCTTGCAATTTTGTGAGGCAACGATATATATATGCGATCACCGAGTTAATGTAGCTAATGATAAATTGACTATGAAGATTATAACAAGTTGAAAAAACAAGTTGCATAAATCTAGATCCACACGGAATTGTTATTATCGAAAGTGAAGCGATTATGTGATGAAAATACCACACTACCCTAGACCCATATGACAATCGTGTAACCTTGTCAGGTTGGTTCAATTTAACAACAAACCTAATGAATTGTACGTAGTACGGTCCAAGGGTATATTCCGGGCTCTGGTCGGAACCTGTCAAACCTCTGGATCCAAAATCATGCCTATTTCTCAACAATTGTGCTAATTGTAAGGTTGGCTAGAATGATAGCCTGAGGTTTGACTAGAGGCTAGACCATAGCCTTGAATATACCCTAACTCTTCTTGAACCTATGGGGTGTCTCAGGGGGTTACAAAGTTTCCTTGAGTGTTTCATCCAGTGACCATTTTGTGTAAAATTGCGGGGCGAAGTGTGACAATCCGTGATTTTGTGATGGATTTGCCTGATTTTGACCATCGGTGATGGATTTGCCTGATTTTGTGACTACTGTTGGATTGCTGACTGACCATCCTTGATTGAGAGCCCAGCCTGTGACTTCTTATATAATTACCCCTACTTGAATGCTTATGATGCTGAGCTGACTTTGTAAAAGCGGCGTCTCATGTATCCACGTGGCAGAACAGAAGTGTTATCCCCATCTACATTACCGGATCTCCACGTCAACAGTCACATTTGTCAACGCTGACGCTGATAATTGTCCAACGGATGTTGCCAGATGGCATATCGTTCGGTCTGGTGACTCGTTCTGTGTTGTTGAGCGTCTTGGCTATGCCACGCAACGGGCCAGGTGCATTCATCACTCCCATCCTTCTCACATCGCGCGGTTCGCGCCATTTTCAATCTGATCCCGTTTCTCGCATCCTTCCCGCTCCCTACTCATCTCTGCACCGCAAGATATTTCTCACCTCCTGGGTGAAGCTGGCACGCAAAGCAAGGCGATTCGGGACGACCAACTTGGGTCCGCCAAACCTGGAGCATCTTCCCTTTTTGTTGCCCCAGTGGCTTGATGCCTTGTGTTGGTTTCAAGTGTCAGTCTCCTTTCTATTTCTTGTGAACGAGACTGCACCAACATCGAAATTACTTTCCTCTCCTTGCCTCCGCTCCTGATCAGCTGAAATGGCTGCTCTCACGACCGTTTCCTCTTCTGCTGTCCCCGTCGCGGGGCTGACGTCTATTGGAAGCGGGTGAGTTCCTCCCTCCTCTTGCTCTCATCACATTTCTCCCGTGCTGTCTCCCCAGCATTTTAGCTGTATCCGTGTCGCTTCCAAAAAGGTCATCCATGCGGAAGGAGAGAAGCCACGTATAGAATGTGTATTTTTGAGACGTCCCAAAAATACACTTTCTACACGTGGCCATGCGGAACGAGAGACTCCATCTCTTTCCGTATCTCGACCTGCCCTTCCATCGCGCCCGTTCAGCACCCTCACTTGGCGATCCCAAGCGTACAAGCTACTCGTATCAACACCATGCATCCACGACTTTAATCGTGCCCCCCACCGTCTCCACCTCCTCACAGTTCCGCCATCAACCACAATGCGTCGTCGCTCGCTCTCCGCTCCGTCTCCTTCTCTGGTCTCCGCAAGGATGACTCTCTCTCCGCCACCGCCGCTTCGTCCTCGCTGGGACACGCCGCCATCGCTGCCGTCAGCAGCAAGGTGAGCAGCAAGGGTCATAAACATAGCGCTATCACATTTCTTACTCTTTTTTTTTTCTCTCTCTCTCTCTCTCTCTCTCTTCTCTCTCTCTCTCTCTCTCTCTCTCTCTCTCTCTCTCTCTCTCTCTCTCTCTCTCTCTCTCTCTCTCTCTCTCTCTCTCTCTCTCTCTCTCTCTCTCTCTCTCTCTCTCTCTCTCTCTCTCTCTCTCTCTCTTTCCCGTTCTTCTTTTAACGCACGTACGGGACCTCGGCATAGAGTCATTCTACCCCTAACCACCACCAGATCCACCCCTACGTGGCTTTCGAGTCGATGCCACTAGTTCTCGTCCATATCCTCGCTTCCCCACCTCCGTTCCCTCCATTGGTGCTGAATTTCCCTATTTTCTTCAATCGTTACTCCTGTTTCCCCTCCTGCTCCCTCAACCAGCGCAATGCGCCCGCGCAGAAGCGCGCTGGAGCGGCGCGCGCAGCTGCGGCGGAGCCAGTGGTGGCGTCGGCGGCATACGTTGCGCCGAAGAAGATCCTCATGATGGGCGGCTCGCGCTTCATCGGCGTGTACCTCGCGCGCGCGCTCGTGAAAGCCGGGCACGAGGTGACGCTCTTCACGCGCGGCAAGGCGCCAGTGGCGCAGCAGATCCCGGGGGAGAGCGACGCGGAGTTTGCGGAGTATTCTGCCAAGGTGAAGCACATTAAGGGCGACCGCAAGGACTTCGACGGCGTGCGCAGACTGCTGCGCGGATCGGGGTTCCAAGTGGTGTACGATATTAATGGCCGCGAAGGCGCGGAGGTGGAACCCATTCTCGATGCGCTGCCTCGCCTCGAACAGTGAGTGGCCATGTGCCTTGCTACGTTTCACGCTATGTTCCAGGTGGCACGCTATGCGCCTTGCCACGTGTCACGCCGTATGCCACGCCATGGTTTGAAATGTGTCGCATTTTCAGCCTCCCTCGTTTATCTCTGGTCTATGGCGGTGTCGCTTATTCGCCTATCGCCTGTCGCCTGCCGCCCTGTCACACGATGTTCGCAAACGGATCGCCGAAACTCCAGTTTCCCTTGGAACTCCGTGCATTCCTTGCTCCCCGCCGGAACTACTCAGCGCACCGCTTTAACGAACATTCAGCATATTCTGCTTCACTGTTATTCTCTACGCTACCCGCTTGCATACAATCGCCAAAACCACCATATTCCCATCTCCCTCTCCCTCATGTCAAACGCTTACTCATCACTTCTCACATCTCCATCTCCTCCGTTCCGTTCCCCTCTCCCTCCCCGCGCCCCTCGTTTGAATTCCGCAGGTACATCTTCTGCTCGTCCGCGGGAGTCTACCTCAAGTCTGACGTGCTTCCGCATCGCGAGGTAACTTCCCTTCTTCCTTGTCTCACCTACTATCTCGCTCCTATCCTCATTTCCTCTCCTCGTTTCTCCTCACGCCCCCAGTTTTCAAACCCACTCCCGCTTCTCGCCCATCCACATGCTCTGCTATTTACCCCGCCCCCCTCCCAGCTCACTCACAGCTCACTCCCGCTTTTGTGTCCCTCACCCTCCTCTTTAAACCCGTGCATCGTTCTCCACTCCCCTCGCCTTCCCCCTCCCCCCTCTCCTCCGCCAGGAGGACGCGGTGGACCCCAAGTCGCGGCACAAGGGCAAGCTGGACACGGAGGCGCTGCTGCAGGCGCGCGGCGCGCCGTGGACGTCGATCCGGCCGGTGTACATCTACGGGCCGCTCAACTACAACCCCGTGGAGGAGTGGTTCTTCCACCGCCTCAAGGCCGGCCGCCCCATCCCCGTGCCCAACTCCGGCATGCAGGTCACGCAGCTCGGCCATGTCAAGGTGCGTGGGGGGGGAGGGCGCAGGGGGGAAGAAAGGGGGAAGTGGGGAAGAGGGGGGGGGGAGAGTGTTCGGGGAAGGTGGGTTGGGGGGGAAGTGTTATGGGTGTTCGCGCGCAGACGAGAGAGGCTGGGGTGAAGGGGAAGGGGAAGGCGTGCGGGGAAGGGACGCGGTCGATCCGGCCGGTGTACATCTACGGGCCGCTCAACTACAACCCCGTGGAGGAGTGGTTCTTCCACCGCCTCAAGGCCGGCCGCCCCATCCCCGTGCCCAACTCCGGCATGCAGGTCACGCAGCTCGGCCATGTCAAGGTGCGTGGGGGGGGATGGCGCAGGGGGGAAGAAAAGGGGAAGTGGGGAAGGAGCGGGGGGTGGAGGAGGGGGAGAGGGGGTCGAGGAATCTGGTGGTTTGCCTGCAAGGGCGGTTGCGTAGAGTGGGGAAGGCGTGCGAGGGCGGGACACACGCATGGTGGGAAAGGGATTGCCAGGGGCTGAAAACGTCGAGACGCGCATGCAGTGGGTTGGCCGAGCGCTGCCCGCACATCCGCCAGGCCAGCACGTCGGGTTCGGTTGGTGTTTCACTAGACCAACGTGTCGTGCTCCCTGTTTACCGCGGTCAGCGCCCACTCGAAATAAATTCTGAAACAGATTTGCACACAAGTGTCCCACGCAAAACCACTCCAGTAGCCTGGGCGACACCAGCATTCCCACAATACCTCTCCAATCTTCACGCTTACAGACCACTACTCTCTCAACCTAGCTCCTGCCTGTCGCCTTTCTTCTCCCACCACCCTTCCCCCGTCCGTACTCTCCTCGGTCCCCCCCCACCGCAGGACCTGGCGAGGGCGTTCGAGCTGGTGCTCGCGAACCCCCTTGCCATCGGCGAGGTGTTCAACATCTCGGGCCCGCGCTACGTGACCTTCGACGGCATCGCCAACGCGTGCGCGGAGGCCATGGGCGCGCCCAAGCCCACCATCATGCACTACAACCCCAAGGACTTTGACTTTGGCAAGAAGAAGGCCTTCCCGCTGCGCGACCAGCACTTTTTCGCGAGCAACGACAAGGCGGAGGATCTGCTCGGGTGGCGCCCGCAGTTTGATCTGGTCGACGGGCTCCGCGACTCGTACCAGCTCGACTTCGGCCGCGGGACCTTCCGCAAAGCCGCGGATTTCTCCGTGGATGATATGATTCTGGAGAAGCTGGGCGTGGGATCATCTTCGTCTTCTTCCTCTTCTGCCTCCTCGTACTCTTCTGCGTCATCTGGTGCTTCTGCAAGCGGCGCCGCGGCCACAGGAGCGGGTGTGAGCGTGCAGCAGCTGCAGACGATGCCGCTGCCTATGCTCAATGCGCTGGCCCGCGCCCGTGGCATCCACGCCACCTCCCGCCCCGACCTCATCCGCCGCCTCGCTGCTGCTGGCGCTGGCCCTGCTGCTGCGGCGACCGCAGCAGGCGCAGGATCGGGAGCGGGAGCAGCTGTTTCTGCGGGTGCAAGCAGTGGGAGTGGGTTGAGTGTGGCTGACTTGCAGAGGAAGAGCATCGGGGAGCTGAGGACTCTGGCGCGGGCTAGGGGCGTGAGGGGGGATACCAAGGCTGAGCTTGTCAAGCTTCTTAGCTCCGGTGCTGCTCCTGCTGCGCCTGCTGCGGCTGCTGCCAGGTAAGTCTTTGGTTGTGCTCCAGCTCATTGTAAGGTGGGTGGTGATGGCAGTCTCTGCGTCTCCTGTGTTCCCATTGTGTGGCAGCTGTTGCACAACTGCCCTCCCACACACACCTGCTGCTCTCGTCTTGATCCCGAAGCCCTGTACAACAGGCCATAGGCCATATCCCCTCCTCTCTGTGCCTGTCTTCCGTGTCCCGCCTGTGACAACCAGCCCTGCTGCGAGCAGCAGCAACGGAGCGGGAGCGGGTGTTGCACTCTCGGAGAAGCAGCTCCTGGCCAAGTCGATGGGCGAGCTGCGTGCCCTGGCTGCACGCCAGGGCATTCGTGGGGGCAACAAGGCGGAGCTTGTCAAGGCGCTTGTTGCCGCTAACAAGTAGTTCATGCTGCTGCTGTTGCTGCTGCTAATGTAGTGGTCGCAACTACTGTAGTAGCTCAGACACTGGGGAAAGAGCAGTGATTCTTTACCCCTGGCGTTTTAAATTATTTCCCCGATTTTTTCCGACGTTAGGATTGTTGGAGCTGAAAGGCGCGTACACTGCAGACGTGATTGCGGTGATGGTGCGGGATGTGTTCAGATTCATCACTGCGATTTTTTGTTTGAGTGGCACATATACAAGGTTTCTGCCTGGCCCCTATCAGTTGTGCGAAGGTAAAAGATGGAAATGTGTTAGCGGGTTTTCTTACATTGCACAATTATTGGACAAGTAGGCAGGTGGCGTTTTCTGTGTGCAGTGCCGTGATTGTCTGCGTCAGTAGGTGGATAGGGTTCTCCGTGCTGCGTCAGCAAGTTGGGTGGGGTTCCCTCCCTGTCTGCTGTCTGCGTCATGGCGTGTACAAAGTGCTGCATTCTTTTCGACGTCGATCCACGTCGAGGTTGTAGAGCTGAAGGGTGCCATTTCTGTGTACAAAGTACGCTTCAAAAATTGCTGACGCAAGCATCGCCCATTGTACGGAATTTTGCAATGATGATAGGGTCACAAACGGACAACCACAGAAAGATTGAGGGAATGTTTACAGTGTTTGCATGACCACATTAGACAAAACTACAGACTCGATTGACTTGCAATTCCGAGCTGTGCGAACATGAGGAATTCGCAATGAAAATTCGCAGCCAGTAGATGCATCACGGATGTGCACGAAAAAAAATAGCGATTCTATGATTTCGTCTCAATTTAATTCTTCAGCCGTCGCAATTCAATTCTTCAACTGTCCCAATTCAATTGTTACTATTCAGGCCGGCATTTGTCCTGACCTGCCAGTGCGTCGCCGGCAATCTGTACAAAGTGCCTCATTCGACGTTAGTCGACGTCAGAGGCATGACGTCAAATTGACGTCAAGCTCGACGTCGAAAGTACGTCGAAACTGCGTCGAACTACTTCGCACACGCCATGATGGCATTCAGCAAAGTGAATACTGCCATTTCCCGCCTCATGTCATGACGAACAGTAACTGGCCTGTAGGAATTTACCTTATAATGTATAACATGAGAGCCTTATATTTGAGAACACCGCAATAGGGACGTGCGTATGTGGGTGTCTAAAAAAGTTACAACATAGGCTTCCACTCTAGGTGGGAACCTTAGGGTTTCCATCTCTGGAGGTATGATACATACCGCATGTAACTATTCAAACGTTAATCAGTATAGAGCTGGGCCGAAAACCCATTCACCAACTACTACCTTCCGCTGTGTGGGGTGGTTCCCCACCCCACCGACGTTTTGCAGAGCAAGCAGCATCCAGGCCAGGGTGTCAATAGTCAAATAGAGCTGCCCTTCTCTGCAAGCGTGGTGACCTCCACAGGGTGCTCTGGGTTGCAGATGCGCGTTAGATGCATGGAGGCAGGGCGCATGGAGTACATAGCAGCTGTGCGGGAGTAGCCCGAGTCGGGGAAGACAAAGCGGTCGCACGAGGCGAAGAGCAGCCACTCTGCTACCGTCTCCTGCACCATCACCTCGCTCGCCTCGTTGCTCTTGGAGTTGGGGTCCTCGTTCTTGCTCACGTGCCGGGGAACAAAGTTGGTCACGACCACCTGAGGGAGGCGCGGGAAGCAGGATATGCGTGTGGAATGAGCAGGCGACTCAGGAATTGCAGAATAATGGACTGGCAACATTGCCGGAAATACCTGAGGATACGAGGCATTGAATTGGCAGCAGAAATAAAGAGTGGCGGTGTTATAGTGGAGGTGTGCGTGTACCTTATCGGGGTATTTCTTCTGAATGGCCTCCTTGAGCTGGTGCGAGTTGGTGAGCACGAGCCACTTGGTCTTCACTGGCGACGGATGCCACCAGTCCTCCACGCCCTGGTCAACGTGACGCAACGCAGCACGGCAAGCACACAGGGGAAGAGCGTGTGAGCGACGGAGTGAGCGAGCGGATATCGCTGCTAAGTGCAGCGGACCTTTGATGCATTGAAAAGGAGAATTCGAGAGAAAACCAAGAAGGCCAGAAAGAAAGTGGGATAACGGGGGGGAGTGGTGGGGGAGAAGGGGAGGTGGTTGGATAGGGGGAATGCGTGGAGAAAGGAACGAAGAATCAGTACCCCATGCCCCCATTACCCATGCCCCCATTCCCCAGGCCCCCGTTTCCCATTCTCCCTCGCCCTCTCCCCTTACCTGAGCACACTCGAGCGCGGGTCTGGCTTGTTCCATGAGCTGCCCGATCTGCGTTTCGTTGAGCGTGATGGGCGCGCCGTAGCCGTGCAGCCCGCCCCACACGATGCGGTCGTCCACGCGGATGTGCACGCCCACGCTCAGCCCGCGCTCGCCGTGCAGCGCGCGCGCCGTCTCGCGCATCATCTGCCACACCTCCGGCTTCGGCCTGCGCCGAGCCGAGAGAGAACGGCCCGAAGGGAACAGGCGAGGGAGATAGAGAGGCAGAGGAAGACGACGGTTGAGTAAGGGCGAGGGCGGTCGGATGAAGGCTGAAGAGAAGAGGGAGAATCAACTGCCTGGAGCGTATCCACAAAAAAAAAAAAATTTAACGACAAAGCGCTTACAACGGGAAAGAAAATGCACGTCAACCCTATCAGCAACAGACCCGTCATGCCCCTTTTCGCTCTCATCCGGCACACACACCTGAGCAGTAGCCGCATGATACAGCCGAAGGAGTAAGGCGGGCGCAGTCCCAGCGACCGGAACCTGGCGCCCCACGTGCCGTTGTTCTTATAAAAGTACGTCAGGTGCCCCACGTTCCACGCGACGCGCACCACGGGGTACTTTTCCATGCGGCCGAAGAGCGCCTCGGGATCCACCTTCATTGCCGTGAGCGCGATTCGCGGCACTCTGCCCGGCTCCACGGGTTCCGTTTCGTTGTTAATAAATTGCACGGGGTCGATTTTCACGTCGGGGGTGGGCCGCCAGTCGAACGTTGCCGGCTCGAACGCGTGCAGCAGCCATGGATGTTTCACGACGAGCGCGCGGCCGTCCAAAAGAGCCGTTATGAACGTGGTTACTAGGCCCGTAATCGTGTCGCCGTACCCGCCTATCCCCGAGTCGTACGCGAGAAACCGCGGCGTGGACGGTAGCGGGTCTAGGAACGAGTTCGCGAGCGTGGCGTCAGATGCGGGCGAGGAGGAGGAGGTGGTGAATGAGGGCGCGGCAGTGGAAGGGGAGGCTAGAGAGGCGGGCGCGGCGATTGAGCCGGGAGCGCCGGCCGCTGCTGTGCTGGCAGTGATGGGCCCGGCGGCGCGGCTAAGAGCTCGCATGTGGTCATTTAGACGCACCGCGAACTCTTTTAGGTTGCCGCATAGGCGGTCCGGGTAGGAGAAGTCGAAAGGAGACGGTAACCCGGGACATGCGGAAGCGCTATCGTGTGCAGCGCGCACCTGGCGGACATAAAAGTGGAAGGGGAGGAGAAGGGGAGGGGGAATGGGACGGAGAGGAAAGGAATGCGGTGAGACTGGGTGGGGTAAGGGGATGAAAGTTACAGATTTAGTGGGCCTAAGAGGTAGAGCGTAGACAGAGAGGAAAATGGGGAACACGGGGAGCAAGCGTGGGAGGCCAAGGAGCGTCGGGGAAGCTTGGTGACAAAATGGGGCGGCAGTTGATGTATGCGGCGTCGACGGGGGTGGAAAAAAAGCTCACCGTTGGTAATAAAATGAGCAGCTGGGACAGCGTGCAGACAGCAAGAAGAGCAAGTAATCTGGAATGAATCATGGCGTCGAAATTGCTCAAGTCGCTGAATAGTAGTCGAGAAGCGCGAATTGTGTGGGGAGAGTCGGGAAACAGCTGCTCCGAGTTTATGCTCAACTGGTGGATGTTCGAAGGTTGCAGACGTGAAGCCCAAGGTTCTTGTACTGGTGGGGAGGTGGTTGGGGGTGGCCGAGGTGCATTCAGTCAGCCCCTTCGTAGGCAGCACGAACGTTTCCGACGGCAGGAGAGGTTGTTGGCTTCAACTGGGGTTGTTGCCTTGCTTGCCTTGCCGTATCTCGGATTTTGTGAACCACCTTCAAACAGTGGGCGAGGGAAACTGCACGTAAGACCCGCTTGCCACGTCGTGGCTCATGAGGTTACATGCTTCGTGACCAATGAGAGCAGGGGGAAGTCACTGTGTTTGGATCGTGCAACAGTGCCGCACGCGCAAAGCGAACTCTGCGACTGCCGGCGACCTGAGCCGCGAATCTGGAAACTCCAGGCAGCAATTCTGGGAGCTATCGACGTGGAGCAGCAATTTCTTGTACCGAAGTACAAGATATTACTTGTACAGTTATGTGTGGGACAGTCCCACACATCACAAAACAAAATCCGGGAGTGTCAGGGCCTATTCGTAGCCCGTGTCAGACGTCAGTTCAGGCACAAAGTGGAGTTCGGAACCCGAATTGGCTCGTTTGTGAGGCGATTCAAAGTTCGGAAGAGACAAATTGGATACTAAAGACTGATATTTGATGTCTCACACACCATAAGAAGACGCCCTTAGTTGCGGGTGCAGGTGCAAACCAAAACCCGAAAACCTATACAAAACTTTTAAATCCCGTGGGCCATTTTGTGAGGGTAGTAAAATATCAGTATCCCCTTTATCGAAGGTCTCCAGGTGTGCAGGTGTTGTTCATGTGATGCGATTGTGCCCGGGCTTGCATGTGTGAACCATTACACCGCAGATCTGAATGAGTATCTTGTTCAAACTGACCGGACTGACCGAACTGTTTTGTATAGTGCCCTGCCCCGGTCTTGGGAAGCGGCCAATTGCAACACACGACAGTACTGTACAGTTCTCCACCAACTTTGTTTTCACAGTCCGTGATTAAATCGAAGGCGCCAAGTACTGGTCTCCCTGAAATTCGTTTGAATGCAAGACTCGCCAGCAACAGGCTGCAAGCGACCCACCCTTGCAAACTATCCTCACCAACGTTTCTTTTGCGATATGTGTTTCTCTCACTCCTTACTACATACTACAAAGAGAACGATACAAATTCGGTTTTATGCAAGTATGAATTTCGAGCACCCAACCAGGACCTTATAGAATATTTCTTGTGGTTTGACCCTTGAGGAAACATATGTTTCTTTGAATCAATTCAAGCAGATGTTGACTTCCAGCTTGCTGTTTCACTGATCTTAGTGTATCTTGTGTAAATGGTTAGGCTTCCTTTCAAACAAGAATATCCACAAGTTTCATATGTCTGTTGCGTTGCGACTGTGAATGATATACGCTAGTTTCGGTGTGTGTCATCGTGTATTGAGACTGTTGTCACTGAGTACTGAGGATTTTCCGAGGCAGACCTGGAGCTTCGGCAGGCGGGGCAGAACCGGAGGCTGGTGGTCTGCGTCACCACAACCCTGCATTTATTTGGGTAGAGCGGAAAGCGCAAGACCAAACCGAAAAGCCCCCCACCCCAACTGTTCTGTGACATCCCCGCGGCAGATTCCCCCCAGCATCATCAGGCATGATGATGAATATATGCTGCTCCACGAATCACAGCGCCCAGTGCTCATGACTTTGTACGCGGCACTGCATGTACCACCATCACATCCCGAGGCTGCAATTGGTCCCCCACTCCCCCATCAGCCCAGATCCAGCGCAACAAAGCTCTAGGAAGTGAAAAGCGTCCTTTGAAGTTGTCGCGTGACGCTTTCACCCTCAAAACGAATCAGTTGGCGAAGCTAGGACTGCTTCGCATGTCGCACATTATTAGCCGAGCAGCAGCAGGCCTGGCGTCGACGTGTTAGAAGTCTTATCCACGTCAGCACGCATGGAAGACACACACAAAAGCGTCCGCTGGGACGCTGACGTGGCGATAGGGCAAAAGGAGCAGCGGCACCCGCAGCTGCAGCAAGAGCAGCAGCAGCAGCAGCAGCAGCACGAGCAGCAGCAGCAGCAGCAGCAGCAAGTGCTAGCGATGTGGTAGTTGTCCCAGGAACACGCTTCGCGTCGAAGTCGTCGAATATGTCGTCTCTCGACGCGGCTCTGCCTGTCGTGCTGCCTAGACGGCGAGATTCGACAGCCGCTCCGGTAGGTAGCGCGATCGATGGGATCCGTTCAGATAACGATCGGTGGTGCTGTGAGAATTGTAGAGGCCGTTAATGGACACTAGCGTGGTGCTAGCGGAACAGTAATAGCAATATTAGTATTGTTAGCGGTGTAGCATCATGGAAGTGTAGTTGATGTTTTCTCTGGTCGCTGCTCAAGAGTCAGGCGACCACAACTTGTTCCCCCATCGCGATCTGGTCGTCTGTGGCCTTAACTTACCATGTGAGGTTGGCGTTTGGGCGAAGCGGTCGAAAGGGTTTCTCGGTGGTGGATGATTCAAGTCAGTGAGGATAGCTTCGCTAGGCGTGGATCTAGGAAGCACTGAGTACGCTGCTTGTACTGTAGACATGGCTGACTGTACTGTAGGTGCGGCTCTATACGGCGAATTCAGCGTTAGGAGTCGTTTTGCTCCGGGCCCTCTCCCCCTTG